CTACAATACGCAGAGCTAAGGATGAAGTTCTTTCATGTCCGTAGCACTGACCACTATAAAAGGGCTGTATTTATGGGAGTCACAACCATACCCATTAAAATCCGCAGAGATAACAGGGAAGAATGAGAGACACACTGATAGTGGCACTCTGCTCTGGATCACTCACGGAAGCTGTACTCACACACAGCATGCTGTGGGGCTCTCATGTCTGTATAGGGGACTCATGAATAATAAGTGTGAAGGATACAGAACATTGCTGAGCAGGTACTTCCGAGACTTCTCGTGCCTCAGGATGGCGATTGTCAGGCGCAAGTAGTGAATCTAGGGGGGGGGGGTGAAAAAAAAAAAAGAAATGCCATTCATCAATGTAACAAAGCACTTAATATATCCAAAATCCAACTCGCTCTCCTGCTTTTCATTTTATAGTGCTACCAAATGTCAAGTCACTCCAGTCTGGGAATAAATAAAAAATAATGCAACATTTCCAAATCTCATCCCAGGTCCCAATGTATAGGTCATGTTTTCTGGGTATCCCCACTCACTCTGCATTGGCATGTGTGAGCTCACCTGTGGCCCCCTGCACTATTGGGAGCAACTGAGGATAGTTTGGGCAAACAGTGATATAAGGTAGCTATCTATAAAACAAGGCCGGAGGAATACATCTCAAGAGCATACAACCCAATAACTGGACTAATATCAGTATATGGACTAATATCAGTGCCTAATGGGCAGCAAACACTGACCTGCAGCCCCAGATCGGGGACAATGGGAGAGAAGCGATATGCTCTGAGGAGAGACATCATTAGCTGTTTCAGGCATTCATGGATCTCGTAGTCCTGGTGGGATAGAGAAGGTTAATAAGGATGCCCAGCACTTCCACTCATTCCTCACTAGAGGGGGCTGTCATTCACCCCCAGCACTTACACACATTTCTCATTAAAGGGGGTTGTTACCCACCTCCAGCACTTCCACTCATTTCTGATTAGAGGGAGCTTTCACTCACCTACAGCACTTTCAATCATTTCACACTGGAGAGATCTCTTATCCACCTCCAGCACTTCCACTCCTTCCTCACAAGAGGGAGCTCTCACTCACCTGCAGCACTACCAACCATGTTTTACTAAGGGGAGCTCTCACCCACTTCAACCCCTTCCCCAGTATAGGGAGCCATCACTCACCTCCAGCACTTCCACCCCTTCCTCAGCATAGGGAGCCATCACTCACCTCCAGCACTTCCACCCCTTCCTCAATCAGAGGGAGCTCTTACTTAACTCCAGCACTTCCATTCCTCCTTCACTAGGAGGAGCTCTCACCCACTTCCACTCCTCCCTCATTACAGGAAGCTCTCACTCACTTTCAGCACTTCCATCCAATCCTCAGTATAGGGAGCCATCACTCACCTCCAGCCCTTCCATCCCTTCCTCAGTATAGGGAGCCATCACTCACCTCCAGCACCTTCCTCAATAGAGGGAGCTCTTACTTACCTCCAGCACTTCCATTCCTCCTTCACTAGGGGGAGCTCTCACCCACTTCCACTCCTCCCTCATTACAGGGAGCTCTCACTCACCTCCAGCACTTCCACCCCTTCCTCAGTATAGGGAGCCATCACTCACCTCCATCACTTCCACCCCTTCCTCAGTATAGGGAGCCATCACTCACCTCCATCACTTCCACCCCTTCCTCAGTATAGTGAGCCATCACTCACCTCCATCACTTCACACCCCTTCCTCAGTATAGGGAGCCATCACTCACCTCCATCACTTCCACCCCTTCCTCAATAGAGGGAGCTCTTACTTAACTCCAGCACTTCCATTCCTTCTTCACTAGGGGGAGCTCTCATCCACTTCCACTCCTCCCTGACTTACCCTCCAGCACTTCCACTCTTCCCTCATTAGCGACGGCTCTCACTCACCTCCATCAGCAGCCACATGAGGTCCAGGAGGTGCTGAATTAAGGGGTGCTCCCCCACTGCACCCCCTCCTGCCAATATACCGAGGAGATAGTTCATCAGGACGTCCTCCACCAGGTAGACTTTACACTGTACACCGCCCATACACGGGAGAAAACCAAAGATACAATAACCAATTAATACACAGATTTCAGAGGGTGGCAGGGGCTGAAAGATGCCAGAGGTGGGGGATATCCAAAGTCAGAGTCTGTCTGGGGGAAGCGGGGTTCAGGGGTTGTAGGATGATGGAGTTGATGAATATCGTAGGGTGGAGGTTCTCTGGGTGGAGTATGGGGAGGTCAGGGGAAATATAATGATGAGAATGGGGGGATATCAGAGTCTAAGACAGTCTGTGTGGAGGAAGGGGATATCAGAGGGTGGAGGCTGGAGTATCAGAGGTTGTAGGATGATGGAAGTAAGGGATAAGGGATGGTGAGGCTGTTTTGGTGGGGGATATCAGAGGTCGGAGGCTGTCTGGGTGGAGTTTGCGGTAGTCAGGGGCTGTAGAATGATGAAGGTGGGGGGATATCGGAGGTCTAGGATAGTCTGGGTGGAGGTTGGGCTGGCAGGGACTCTATGATGATGGAGGTAAGGATTATTGGAGGGTGTAGTAGACTGTCTGGGTGGGGATGCTGACAGTGGGAATATCACAGGCTGTATGGGTGCAGGTTGTGGTAGCAGGGGTTGTGCGATGTTGGAGGATATCAGACGGTGGAGGCCAAATGAGGAGTTGTATGATGATGGAGGTGGGGGGGATAATGGACAGTGGAGGTTATCAGAGACTGTCTTAGTAGAAGTTGGGGTAGCAGGGGTTGTATGATGATGGAGGTAGGGGTTAAAGGATGGTGAGGCTGTCTGGGTGGGGGGATACTGGAGGTCAGAGGCTGTCTGGGTGGAGGCTGGGGTGGCAGGGATTGTATGATGAAGTAGGTAGGGAGTATTGGAGGGTGGAGACAGGGGGAATATTAGTGGTTAGAGACTGTCTGGTTGGAGGGTGGCAGGGGTTGTGAGATGATGGGGGTGGGGGGATATCGGAGGCTGTCTAGGTTGTGGTTGGGGTGGCAGGGATTGTATTATGATGGAGGTAGGGAGTATTGGAGGGTGGAGGCTGGAGACAGGGGGGATATTAGAGGTTGGAGGGTGGCAAGGGTGTCCGATGATGGAGGTGGGGGATATCGGAGGCTGTCTAGGTGGTGGTTGGGGTGGCAGGGGTTGTATGATGATGGAGGTAGGGAATACTGGAGGGTGGAGGCTGTCTGGGTGGGGATGGGGAATATCAGAGGTTGGAGGCTGTCTGGGTGAAGGTTGGGATAGCAGGGGTTGTGCCATGATGGAGGTGGGGCGATATCAGAGGTCAGGGGCTGTCTGGGTGGTAAGGATTGTAAGATGATGGAGGTAGGGGATATTGGAGGTCAGAGGCTGTCTGGGTGAAGGTTGGGGTGGCAGGGGGTTGTACGATGATGAAGGTGGGGCGATATCAGAAGTCGGGAACTGTTTGGGTGAAGGATGGGATGGCAGGGGTTGTGAGATGATGCGATAGAGGTCAGGGGCTGTCTGGGTGGAGGTTGGAGTGGCAGGGGTTGTGCGATGATGGATGTGGGGTGATATCGAAGGTCAGAGGCTGTCTAGGTGAAGGTTGGGATAGCAGGGGTCACGCAATGATAGCGGTGGGGTGATATCAGAGGTCAGGGGCTGTCTGGGTGAAGGTTGGAGTGGGCAGAGGTTGTGCGATGATGGAGGTGGGGGGATATCAGAGGCTGTCTGGGTGAAGGTTGGGGTGGCAGGGGTTGGGCGATGATGGACGTGGGGCGATAGAGGTCAGGGGCTGTCTGGGTGAAGGTTGGGGTGACCGGGGTTGTGCGATGATGGAGCTGGGGCGATATCGAAGGTCAGAGGCTGTCTGGGTGAAGGTTGGGGTGGGCAGGGGTATGTGATGATGATGTGGGGTGATATCGGGACGTCAGAGGCTGCCTGGGTGAAGGTTGGGGTGCAGGGGGTTGTGCGATGATGGACGTGGAGCGATAGAGGTCAGGGGCTGTCTGGGTGAAGGTTGGGGTGACCGGGGTTGTGCGATGATGGAGCTGGGGCGATATCGAAGGTCAGAGGCTGTCTGGGTGAAGGTTGGGGTGGGCAGGGTTATGTGATGATGGATGTGGGGTGATATCGGACGTCAGAGGCTGCCTGGGTGAAGGTTGGGGTGCAGGGGTTGTGCGATGATGGACGTGGAGCAATAGAGGTCAGGGGCTGTCTGGGTGAAGGTTGGGGTGACCGGGGGTTGTGCGATGATGGAGCTGGGGCGATATCGAAGGTCAGAGGCTGCCTGGGTGAAGGTTTGGGGTGTGCAGAGGGGGGTGCAATATCAGAGGTCAGGGGCTGTCTGGGTGAAGGTTGGGGTGGCCGGGGTCATGCGATGATGGAGGTGGGGCGATATCAGAGGTCAGGGGCTGTCTGGGTGAAGGTTGGGGTGGCAGGGGTCATGCGATGATGTAGATGGGGCGATATCAGAGGTCAGGGGCTGTCTGGGTGAAGGTTGGGGTGGCAGGGGTCATGCGATGATGGAGGTGGGGCGATATCAGAGGTCAGGGGCTGTCTGGGTGAAGATTGGGGTGGCAGGGGTCATGCGATGATGGAGGTGGAGCGATATCAGAGGTCAGGGGCTGTCTGGGGTGAAGGTTGGGGTGACCGGGGTTGTGTGATGATGGAGGGTGGGGGGGCGATATCAGAGGCTGTCTGGGTGAAGGTTGGGGTGACCGGGGTTGTGCGATGATGGAGGTGGGGCGATAGAGGTCAAGGACTGTCTGGGTGGAGTTTGGGGTGGTAAGGATTGTAAGATGATGGAGGTGGGGGCGATATTGGAGGGGTGGAATTTGTACTCACCATGAGTGGGGCAAAGTGATTGAATATATGGGCCAGGGTTATCAGGACTGTGGGCTCACCCTGCAGCTGCCATGCAGACGGGTCTCTGTCCACCAGTTTCCCCTCCTGGAAGAGACAATGTCAGAATGGTTCAGATCTCGGGCGATCCTCTGTCAGTGGCCCTCCATACACAATCCTATACCTGAGAGTCGATTCCTGTACTCAGCACGGTCTTCAGGTACCCCAGCAGCCTCTGAGATTTTAGCAGCTCAGCTGTCGGTGGGTCCTGCAGGGGCCGGTACCCCTCCACCGGATACGTAATCGGGTTTGTCAAGGAAAGATGCAAACAATCCACACTTCGGTTCTGCCGAGCCATAGCTCTGACCTCCGACACCCCCAGCAGGACATATGTTCTGGATCCCCACCCCAAGGCCACTTCTCTTCTAGACTGAGCCTCAGATAGGGGGAAACCGGAAAACATGACTTGCAGAGAACAGAGAAGAGATCTAGAACTTTCACTAACCATATAAAACACATCCGGAACCGGACCGTCAGACCCGAATGGTGTTTGTAAAGAAATAACAGCTTAGAGGGATATAGCCCGCTGCGTATTACTTGCACCACATACTGGACTTTGATGACAAGAAGGATATCTCAAAGGACGGGAACCGAAATTGAACGCCACGGACTCCTTGAAGGAGAGGCTGATGGCGGGGAAGTACGCCATACCGGACCCTCTGGAAATGTCGCTGAAAGCAACGCCCAGGCTAACGCCATTTCTGCGGAGAAAATAAAGAGTGCTGAGAGGAGATGGAGATATAAAAGGAAGGCCGCGCTAATCAATCACCAGCCAATCACATACAGGCAGAAGGAGATGGTCCCTTCATCCAAGTCTATCAGACAGCTGACAATGTCCCCCGCCGCCCAGGACTGCGTCGGAGACACAAGAACAACATGGACGTTATCACCAGGAGGAAATAAACACAGTATTCGTGTAAGCTGCTCTGGTACTTTGTACAGCACTGTGGTATATGTCAGAGCTACTGTATATAAATGTATAATATCAAGGTGTGACTGTGGGGGAGGGGCATTAGAGTGCAAGCTCCTCTGGTTTCAGAGACTCCTGTGACTGGCGCAGTGTTCTCTGTACAGCACTGCGGTATATGTCAGAGCTATATAAATGTATAATAATAGTGTGGGACTGTGGGGGAGGGGCATTACAGTGTAAGCTCCTCTGGTACACAGACTGATGTGACTGCAGGGGACTGTGGGGACATTAGAGTGTAAGCTCCTCTGTGACTGTACAGAGACTGATGTGACTGGCTGTGGGGGAGGGGACATTAGAGCATAAGCTCCTCTGGTACAGAGACTGATGTGACTGTGGGGGAGGGGACATTAGAGTGTAAGCTCCTCTGGTTTCAGAGACTCCTGTGACTGGCTCTGTGTTCTCTGTACAGCACTGCAGAATATGTCAGAGCTATATAAATGTAAAATAATAGTGTGGGACTGTGGGGGAGGGGCATTACAGTGTAAGCTCCTCTGGTACAGAAACTGATGTGACTGTGGGGGAGGGGGCATTAGAGTGTAAGCTCCTCTGGTTTCAGAGACTCCTGTGACTGGCTCAGTGTTCTCTGTACAGCACTGCGGTATATGTCAGAGTTATATAAATGTATAATAATAGTGTGGGACTGTGGGGGAGGGGACATTAGAGTGTAAGCTCCTCTATACAGAGACTGATGTGACTATGGTGGAGGGGACATTAGAGTGTAAGCTCATCTGGTGCAGAGACTGATGTGACTGGCTAAGTGTTCTCTGTACAACAGTGTGGTATATGTCAATGATCTATAAAATACACACACTTTTCTTGCCTGTTACTCACCTTGCCGTAGTTTGTGGTGGTCACGTTCCATTTTCTGACCCGGTTCCCATCGTATGCATAGGAGTCTGGAGTGTCTCCAACACCCTCCTGCAACAACAGAGAGAAGTGTGTTCAGCAGTGTTCTCCGCACACTGGAGTCCTGTATTGGTTGAGGTACAGGTGGAGCAGGTAGTAGTCATATGGGGCTGGAGCGGATTTGGAGTTCAGTTCAGGACTGGGGATTGGCTGGGAAACTGTTTTATTGTCCATGCAGCTCTAATGCTTGTTGATCGGCCACTCAAGCACCAGTGTTGTCACATGGGGGGGGGGGGGGGGGGAGAAAAATTCCTCAGGCCTGTGCAAGCTCCAAGCTGTGACTAAAAGCTTTTACAGGACTTCTGTTCCTTGTTCCCAGAGGCACGAGGGTGTAGCAAAGAGCAAATAGCATTTTCACAAGGTGATCAGCAATGGCATCCTAATCATGGATTCCAAGATCTGCACTCACCTCCTGATTAAACCTGCAGCTCAGCGTGCACCAACCAATCTGCATGAGTCCCTGGGGGAGGAGATGAGAGGACCTCATAGAGCCACTTTTCCTGAAGGGACACATTGGGAAAGACAAGAGGAACAGGATCAGGGGGGGTGGACCATACACAAACTGCCTTCTCAATTCAGAGTGTAAGCTCTTCAGGGTATATAATGTTTCCGTCGTAGAAGCAGCTTAGATGTGTTTACTCTGGGCAGGAAGAAAGATGCTTGGTGCTGCATACATCAAAAGTAAAATGTGTTATGTATTTGTCTCTCCCCCCCCCCCCCCCCCCCCTCCACAACGATAAGATTTCGCTGCAGCAATTTATGTCTCTGCCCCTCCCACAATGGGGAGATTCCCCCGCAGCAGTTTGCATCTCTGCCCCTCCCACAATGGTGATATGTCCTCGAAGCACTGTGTCTCCCCCCACTCCCACAATGCAGAGATTCCCCCCAGTAGTTTGCGTCTCTGCCCCTCCCACAATGCAGAGATTCCCCCAGTAGTTTGTGTCTTTTGCCCCTCCCACAATGCAGAGATTTCCCCCCAGTAGTTTGTGTCTCTGCCCCTCCCACAATGGGGAGATTTCCTACAGTAGTTTGTGTCTCTGCCCCTCCCACAATGGGGAGATTTCCTACAGTAGTTTGCGTCTCTGCCCCTCCCACAATGGGGAGATTTCCTACAGTAGTTTGCGTCTCATGCCCCTCCCACAATGGGGAGATTTCCCCGTAGCAGTTTGCATCTCTGCCCCTCCCACAATGGTGATATGTCCTCGAAGCACTGTGTCTCCCCCACTCCCACAATGCAGAGATTCCCCCAGTAGTTTGCGTCTCTGCCCCTCCCACAATGCAGAGATTCCCCCCAGTAGTTTGCGTCTCTGCCCCTCCCACAATGCAGAGATTCCCCCCAGTAGTTTGCGTCTCTGCCCCTCCCACAATGGGGAGATTTCCTACAGTAGTTTGTGTCTCTGCCCCTCCCACAATGGGGAGATTTCCCTGCAGTAGTTTGTGTCTCTGCCCCTCCCACAATGGGGAGATTTCCTACAGTAGTTTGCGTCTCTGCCCCTCCCACAATGGGGAGATTTCCCCGTAGCAGTTTGCATCTCTGCCCCTCCCACAATGGTGATATGTCCTCGAAGCACTGTGTCTCCCCCACTCCCACAATGCAGAGATTCCCCCCAGTAGTTTGCGTCTCTGCCCCTCCCACAATGCAGAGATTCCCCCCAGTAGTTTGCGTCTCTGCCCCTCCCACAATGCAGAGATTCCCCCCAGTAGTTTGCGTCTCTGCCCCTCCCCACAATGCAGAGATTCCCCCCAGTAGTTTGCGTCTCTGCCCCTCTCACAATGGGGAGATTTCCTACAGTAGTTTTGTGTCTCTGCCCCCCCCCCCCCCCCCACAATGGGGAGATTTCCCTGCAGTAGTTTGCGTCTCTGCCCCTCCCACAATGGGGAGATTTCCTACAGTAGTTTGTGTCTCTGCCCCTCCCACAATGGGGAGATTTCCTACAGTAGTAGTTTGTGTCTCTGCCCCCCCCACAATGGGGAGATTTCCCTGCAGTAGTTTGCGTCTCTGCCCCTCCCACAATGGGAGATTTCCTACAGTAGTTTGTGTCTCTGCCCCCCCCACAATGGGGAGATTTCCCTGCAGTAGTTTGCGTCTCTGCCCCTCCCACAATGGGGAGATTTCCCTGCAGTAGTTTGTGTCTCTGCCCCTCCGACAATGCAGATTCCCCCCAGTAGTTTGTGTCTCTGCCCCTCCCACAATGGGGAGATTTCCCTGCAGTAGTTTGCGTCTCTGCCCCTCCCACAATGGGGGGGTTCTCTCCCATGAAGCTACAGTACAGAGTTGGCCTTTACATGTTAAAGCGGAATGCCGCACCGCCTCTCTGTAACAAAAACAAATGCAGCCCCTCTATTTTTCACTCACCTTTAAACACGCAGGTTGTGGCCCGGATGGAGCTGAAGTTGCTGTGTCCAATAACCTGCAGGAAGAAGAAAAACCATCAACCACCGTGAACAGCGCTGGTACTCTGTGTGTACCGCCCGGCAGGAGCGCTGAGCACTATACTCACCCCCAGGGATCATCGTCCACCAATAAGAGCCCCTCAAATCCGCTGGTGTGGTCCAGGACCACTGTGGAGGGTCCAAGGCGGCCCTCTGCCGTCTGATCTGCAGCTCGGAGAAAGCAGAAACCACTTTTAATAACCAATTAGAAATCAGATTTCAGTTAGCGATATGTAGTGAGAGATGAACGGTTGCTAAGGGTTACTGCACCTTTCCTGTGGATTTATGGGCCAATTCCAGAATCTGAATGGTCAGCGCAAAAATTATAACCCAGCAGGATTATTTATGAAAGATTTATACTCGCGCCCGCTTAAATAGTTTTACTCTGTCTGAAGGTAACCATCCGCCTCAAAATGAGAGCTGAGCACACAGTCTTCCAGCACCCGAGTTTACATAACGGTATAAAATAATAAAGCTCCAAAACTGTGTATATTCCTCTCTGGCCTGGCAGACCAGTCTGTCCATAAGTCTGTGTTCTGGATCAGTGGTCGTTGTACAAAAATGGCATTGCCTGGACACCTTTTCTACCACCTCCCTCCCACCCATCCACCCCCAACTGCATCATGCACCTCCTTGCTGCCCTGCCTCAACCCGAGCTCCATGTACCCCTCCCCAATCCCCCATCTGCATCATGCACCTCCTTGCTGCCCTGCCTCAACCCAAGCTCTACGTACCCCTCCCCAACCCCCATCTGCATCATGCACCTCCTTGCTGCCCTGCCTCAACCCAAGCTCCATGTACCCCTCCCCAATCCCCATCTGCATCATGCACCTCCTTGCTGCCCTGCCTCAACCCGAGCTCTACGTACCCCTCCCCAACCCCCATCTGCATCATGCACCTCCTTGCTGCCCTGCCTCAACCCGAGCTCCATGTACCCCTCCCCAATCCCCCATCTGCATCATGCACCTGCTTGCTGCCCTGCCTCAACCCGAGCTCTACGTACCCCTCCCCAACCCCCATCTGCATCATGCACCTCCTTGCTGCCCTGCCTCAACCCGAGCTCCATGTACCCCTCCCCAATCCCCCATCTGCATCATGCACCTCCTTGCTGCCCCTGTCTCAACCCGAGCTCCATGTACCCCTCCCCAATCCCCCATCTGCATCATGCACCTCCTTGCTGCCCTGCCTCAACCCGAGCTCCATGTACCCCTCCCCCAATCCCCCATCTGCATCATGCACCTCCTTGCTGCCCTGCCTCAACCCGAGCTCCATGTACCCCTCCCCAATCCCCCATCTGCATCGTGCACCTCCTTGCTGCCCTGCCTCAACCCAGGACTCCATGTACCCCTCCCCAATCCCCCATCTGCATCATGCACCTCCTTGCTGCCCTGCCTCAACCCGAGCTCCATGTACCCCCTCCCCAATCCCCCATCTGCATCATGCACCTCCTTGCTGCCCTGCCTCAACCCAGGACTCCATGTACCCCTCCCCAATCCCCCATCTGCATCATGCACCTCCTTGCTGCCCTGCCTCAACCCGAGCTCCATGTACCCCTCCCCAATCCCCCATCTGCATCATGCACCTCCTTGCTGCCCTGCCTCAACCCAGGACTCCATGTACCCCCCCTCCCACCAATCCCCCATCTGCATCATGCACCTCCTTGCTGCCCTGCCTCAACCCGAGCTCCACGTACCCCTCCCCAACCCCCATCTGCATCATGCACCTCCTTGCTGCCCTGCCTCAACCCGAGCTCCATGTACCCCTCCCCAATCCCCCATCTGCATCATGCACCTCTTGCTGCCCTGCCTCAACCCAGGACTCCATGTACCCCTCCCCAATCCCCCATCTGCATCATGCACCTCCTTGCTGCCCTGCCTCAACCCGAGCTCCATGTACCCCTCCCCAATCCCCCATCTGCATCATGCACCTGCTTGCTGCCTGCCCTGCCTCAACCCGAGCTCCACGTACCCCCTCCCCAACCCCCATCTGCATCATGCACCTCCTTGCTGCCCTGCCTCAACCCGAGCTCCATGTACCCCTCCCCCAATCCCCCATCTGCATCATGCACCTCCTTGCTGCCCTGCCTCAACCCAGGACTCCATGTACCCCCCCCCAATCCCCCATCTGCATCATGCACCTCCTTGCTGCCCTGCCTCAACCCGAGCTCCATGTACCCCTCCCCAATCCCCCATCTGCATCATGCACCTCCTTGCTGCCCTACCTCAACCCGAGCTCCATGTACCCCTCCCCAACCCCCATCTGCGTCATGCACCTCCTTGCTGCCCTGCCTCAACCCGAGCTCTACGTACCCCTCCCCAATCCTCCATCTGCATCATGCACCTCCTTGCTGCCCTACCTCAACCCGAGCTCCATGTACCCCTCCCCAACCCCCATCTGTGTCATGCACCTCCTTGCTGCCCTACCTCAACCCGAGCTCCACGTACCCCTCCCCAATCCTCCATCTGCATCATGCACCTCCTTGCTGCCCTACCTCAACCCGAACTCCATGTACCCCTCCCCAACCCTCATCTCAACTCTGAACCCCTTCCTCTCTACCTGCACCCTCAACTCCCTTGCCCTTCCAGAATTAATTCATTCCTCCTCCACCCTCAGCTGAGTCCTACTCCCCACAGTCTGCACTCTTCACCTTTCTCTCCTCCACCCGCACACCGCTCTCCCGCCTGCACCCTAAAGTCTTCCCCAACCCCTAACTGAACCCTGGGCTCCACTCCACCTGCACTTTGCCCCTTCTCTCCCTCTGCCTGAACCCCGAGTTCATCCCCACCCTCGCCTGAGCCCTCCATGCCTACAATCTCCCACTCTTAGTCTTCATTCCGTACACTGTATTCTCTACCCCCTTCCCACTAGCACCCTAATCAACGTCCCTCAGAACCCCTGAACTCCACCCCACCTGCACTTTGCCCCTTCTCTCTCTCTGCCTGAACCCCGAATTCATCCCCCCCACACCCTCGCCTGAACCTTCCATGCCTGCACTCTTCCACTCTTCATACGCACACTGTATTCCCCCCATCTGAACCCTGGATCTACCCCCTTCCCACTTGCACCTTAATCAACGCCTCTCCCAACCCCTGAACTCCAGGCCAACTGCACTTTCACCCTCCTCTCCTCCTTCTGCACCCCGAAATCCCCCTTCCTTTTCCCCAGCCTTTTTAAACCCTTTTTTATTCGCCCATGCAGGCACTCTCTCTCACTCTTACCCTTCACCCCGCACGCTGCATTCCCCCCACCCAAATCCCATCTGAACCCTATACCCACCCACTCAGCCTGCACCTTAAAATTCCCCTCCCCCCCAACTCTCATCTGAAACCTGGACTCAACCAGCCAACCTGCCTACCCCTGAACTCTAGGCCACCTGCACTTTCCCCCTCCCCTCCTCCTGCACCCCGAAATCCCCTTTCCCCCAGCACTCCCCCCCTCCTATCCTACCCTGGACCCCCCAACCCCACAGCTAGCAAATAAATCAAACCCCCCCCACCTACAATATCTCCATATCCAGTCCTGCGAGTCTCCTCACCTGTGTTATCCTCGCTGGACTCCCCAGCAGACAACAACCGATCCAAGCGCTCCTCCAGGTTCTGGAAGGTGAGGGGTTTCCTGGGCACAAAACACAGGGGTGGCATGTGACGCATGAAAGAAACACAACAGCGCCCCGACGCCAACAAGCCCGACTAGAACTTAAACGAAGTAGATTCACATGTGCTGGACAATGACAAAAACAATGATTACAAATTCAGGGAAAACAGAAAAATACAATTCTAGATGATAATAGCCACATATTCCTAAAGTGGAACTCTGGCCAAAACAGCTTTTCCTGAATTCTCCAAAACGCAGACACGGACTGATGAAAACCTTCCTAAAACAGGCAGGAGATCTGCTTTGAAACAGTCCTAATCTGGCCCTATCTTGTGCATGTATGTGAGACGGGTACCTTAGATTGTAAGCTCTTTGGGGGCAGGGACGGATGTAACTGCTGCCTAAATTGTCGGCAATACATAAATGCCTAAAATAAGTAAATATTACATTAAAATCTTCACGATGGGGGGGGGGGGGGGGTTGACAAAGGCCATCAGTATGCACCCCCGTCTTACCAAAATTCAGACTCTGTGCCCTTCAGCTCCTCTGTGGCCTATGAAGAGGCACCCACAATGCATTGGTGGGCTGTGCAGGCTCCAGACAGAGGTTGGGATTTGCTGTGTTCAGGGGCTCCCAGACAGACCAGAGGGGAGCTCTGATAGAACACCTTCTATTACGACTTTATGCAGGGCTCGGCCAACTGTGGCCCCATCATGCCCCTGCCTCTGGGAGTCACGCTTGTAACTGCCAGTCTTGCAATGCCTCATGGGACATGTAGTTCCACAACAGCTGGAGGGCAGCAGTTGCCCTCCCCAGCCCTTTTGACAGGTTCCCTGAAAGCATAACTGTTAAATGTGCTACAATGTGACATAAAACATAAATTATTATTATTATTATTATAATACAGGATTTATGGCGCCAACAGTTTGCTCAGCACTTTACAATATAACGGGAGACAATACAGCAACAATACAGTTCAATACAAGAGGGATAGGAGGGCCTGATCCTGGGAGCTTACAATCTAGGAGGGAGGGGCTAGTGGTACAAAAAGGTAACTGCGGGGGATGGACTGGTAGGAGGAGTAGAAGATTCCATTATTAGCTGAGGGCAGGATAGGCTTCCCTGAAGAGAGAGGTTTTCAGAGTTCACCTAAAAGTGAGCAGAGTAGGCGATAGTCTGATAAATTGGGGTAGAGAGTTCTAGAGGATGGGGGAAGCTCTGGAGAAGAGCATGGGAGGAGGAGACGAGGGAGCTAGAGAGCAGGAGGTCTTGCGAGGAGCGGAGAGGACGGTTTGGGTGATATTTGGAAACAAGATCGGTGATGTAATTTGGGGCGGAGTTATAAATGGCTTTATACGTTATTGCTAGTGTTTTGAATTTTATCCGTTGGGCAATGGGGAGCCAGTGGAGGGATTGGCAGAGAGGGATGAGGACTGATACTGGAGGGTGGCAGAGAGGGGTGGAGGACACTGAGTGGAGGAGGGATTGGCAGAGAGGGCTGGAGACACTGAGTGGAGGTCAGTAGAGGGAGGG